TAATTTCTGTTAGAAACACTGCCTTTTTCGACATAAAAGCATAGGTCTATCTAGTCACAATGGGACAAGATTCTGATTGTACTTGCTCTGTTTAATCACCAGAGAAAGTTTTTGTCCTTGTTTTTGCTGGGGGGCGGGGGGTGGAACCTCAGGGCTTCCAGCTTGTTAGCAAGGGCTCCACCACTAAGCCACCCCACCCCCCACCCCCAGCTAGCCTTGGGAAACTTTTGACCTTGCGTTCCCATTAGTTATCCCTAGATGGCAGCAAAGAACTCCAGCCTAGGGTTAAATTCTGCACTCCAGTCTTGCTTTCAATCAATACACTCCAGTGCTGTAGGCTGACTTGGTCAGAGCTCTGCAAATACATGGTACACGTGAGCCTCCACAAGGGCCCTCTTTGTGGCTGGGCTTAAAATTAAATTGTGACATAGCCACCCCTCACCCTCACTCCCCTGTCACACGGGGCTCATAATGCACTCCATGTGTGTCTGAGCCCCTGGTTCATTAAGTCAGAATCAATCCAGTGGCGCCTCATGTTTTCTTGAATCACAATTCCACTGCCCACTTCAGCCCATCAGCTAGGCAGCAGTGTTAAACATGGTTTGTAGCCCAGGCTTTTATATAACCAAACCTCCATAAATGGCATTTGCCTGAATGCACCAAGGCACCAAAATAAGTATGATTTTTGTGAGTCCAGTTGCAACTGGGGTTCTGGCTGTGACATGCTGGTAAAGTTCAACACACTCAGTGGGAGAGGGAAGGAGGAGACCTTGGTTTGTAGTGTTTGCTGATCTCCATACTGTAGTATTTTCTCTCTCCATAGGTTCACTTTTTGTGGTTTCAATTACTGTAGGTCAACTGCAGTCTGCAAATATTCTTCCAAGAGAGACATGGCATTCACATAACTTCTAGCATGAGTATTGTAATTATTCTATTATTAGCTGCTTCCCATTCTTAATTTATAAATTGAACTTTATCTTAAGTATGTATGCCTAGGAAAATGCCCAGAACATGTAAGATTTGGTACCTATAGTTTCAGACATCCCCTGAGAGTCTTGGAACACATCTCCCATGGATAAGAGGGGAATAATACATGCCTGAACTATGGCTGATTTTAAGGCACTGTGATGGAAGAGGAATTGGGATGAAGATGTCTGTCTACCATTGGCTCCTGTAAGTTAGTGTCAGAGGCTCTAGCTGGCTTGGTTTGGGGTCAGGTCCAATGTAGAGCTGGTGAAGGGGACAAGTACTTTCTTTTTTTAATTTTTATTTTTTACTGTGTTATTATTTCATGCATGCGTATAATACATTTTTACCAAACCCAGCACCCTTCACCTCCTCCCAAACACCACTGCTCCCTCCCAACTTCAAGTGCTATTTTTAAAAAAAAACTCACTGAGCCCATTTAGTGCCGCCTGCATGTGCATGGGTGTAGGGCCATCTACAGGAGCATGGATAACCTCTCAGGAGCCACATCCCTGAAGAAAACTGACTTTTTTTTTTTTTTTGGAAGGAAGTTTGACTTTTTAAATTAACTTTTACAAAAACTTTATTGAGAATTTCATACATGTATATAAGGTGTTTTGATCAAATCCATACCCACTCCCTCCCCTCCAACATTCCCCCCTCTGAAGAGGTAACCCTAAAATCTTTTAAGGATTAGATGCTAGCTTCCAAATACTTTTGACATTTTGACATTTTTGGCCTTTGGAACAGTGTGTGTTGCTAACAGGAACAAGGACACTTTGACTTTTAGCCAAGAAACGGGCTGCATTTCTTTGGGGTCTTTTTACCCTAACTGCCTAGCCAATTCCTACCCTTATTATGCCATCCTCTGAAGGGGTTATCCAAATTGCCAATAGGGAATAGGGACGCAGACCACTCTGGGTTCTTCCATGTGGAACAGGGATGCAGGGTGAGGCAATTGGAGTACCCCTTCAGTGAGTCTATCTAAAAGACTCCCAAATTGCATAACTCTGGGATAAGCACTTTCAGCACAAATCTGTTCATTTGTGTTGATGCCCCCCCAAGAAGAAAGATGTAACTCAAATGCAGGATAGAGTACGGCAAATGAGGGGCCCAGAGTAGTTTAAGGAATCACTCACTCTCAACATCATCAAGTGCAGATGGTCAGATATAAGGCCCTCTGAGTAATTCCTTAAATCTTTCATCCTAGGAATCACAGTAGCTGCATGGCTTCTGCCATCCAATAGAAAGTATATCAATGTACTGGCCTCCACTGAGGCATAATGTCTCATAATGTCCTACCTATCCTTCTTATCCTACATTACCTTGGGCACACATATCAATTCAAGGTCTAATGCCTAGCCCATTTCTGAGGCCTACTGGGGTATTCATTGGTTGACTCAACAGTGTAGCTTTTGATTCAGCTAGATAATCACATAGATGCAAAGGCCAACTCCTCACCAGTTTACTGAGTTTTGCAGAAGAATGCAAGGTGGTGGGTATAGCAGGGATGCTGTCTCTATGCCCCTTCAAGTCCTCAAAGTGGCCCAGGAATATTCTTTAGTGCCACCCCATGACAGTTTAGTCCCAAAGAAACAAGCAAGATTAGTCAGGCTGTGCAAGAGCTTCCCTAGTTTAGTAATCTCATGGCACATGAGGCAGTAACTCTTGTTCTGACTGTTGTAGGACAGGATTGATACCAGTGTCCTGCTCTGCTTCCAGTACTCAAGTAGAGTACCTAGACATGTTGTACTACATTCGGGAAAGCTTAAAGCTGTGGCTTCCTCCCAAGTGCTTACAGTTCATTCATAGCCCTGCCCAGCTCAGATGCACTTTACCATCTAGGGTTTTGTTTATCACAGGCCGTACTGGTTACAGAGCTGAGTTCTGCCCTTAGCACATTACAGAGAAACAGTGCTAGAAAGGGATCTAAAGGAAGCCATTTCCATAGACAGAAGGAGAAAGGGTAGAGTTTTTATTAAGCCTTTATTCACATACAGCAGGGCACAACATCATAACATTTAAGAAGGTAGGAAATAAAGAAAATGCCCTAAACCTTCCAGAAAAAAAGAACAGATCTCAGGCAGGATGTGTGGTAAAGGACTGCGTAGCAGGCACCAGGCTAGGTTTGACACCAGCAACACAAAAACAACAACTACAACAAAACCTGTACCAAGTCTTAAAGGTTGACTAGTCAGAATAGCTCTGCGCTTTTCAACAGCAACTCCAGAACCCAGAATCCCTGGAGGAACATCTTCAAAATTCCAACTGAGCCAAAAAGTAGATCTTTCAGATATTCAGTTTTAGAGATTTGCCTGGAGATACTATTTCTCAGAAAACTTCAACACTCAGCTTTGTCCAACCAAACAAAAGAGTTATTGAGGAAGATGTGGAAATCCAAGACAAAGGGGTTCTCTCACAGGAGAAGCAAAGTGTCAGAGTGGTGTTGTGGAGAGGTTGCAGGACCTTCAGCAGGCCTGAAGAGCTCAGCACAGAGTAGGATGAGAGGGGAATCAGGAGGGGTGTATCGGGGGTGGGGGGTACAAGGAGAGGAGGAGGACACTGAGGAGGGGAAGGAAGAATCAAACTAATTAATCTGAATATATGAAGCAATTTCTATTTCTGTCAAAGAATCTGGTATGGAAGAGGGCAATAGTTACCAGATTTGTTGAGTATACTAACCTGCCACTTCTTTTTGAGGCAGGTTCTCGCTATGTAACCCAGGCTAGCCCCCAAATTCAATATCCTTCTGACTTCTCTTTTTGAGTGCTGAGATTACAGATGTGCCATGCCCAGCATCTTAACAGCTATTTCTAGCTCCCTTCTCCCTTCCCTATACTATAGAGACTGGAAAGTTAATTACCACCTCTCTAAACTTTTCCTGTAGTTATAGGTAACCAAGAAGTTGTTCTAGTAAATGATCTGTCATAAAAATATACTGAAGACTTTCAGGAAAAATTTGTTTTTCCTTATAACTAGATAGATTGGGCTGTTTCTGTCTTGGTTGTGAACTGATGCCTCGATATGCAAATTATAATGCAACTGTAAAGCAAAAAACCGACATTCCAAGGGCACTAGGAAAACAGAAACAGCCTAACAGCCTGAGTTACTAATGCTGTAGATAAGCCACAGTACCAGACAGCCTCTCTCTAGACTTAGTGAGAACTATTAGTCAGGTTTCTGTTAAAGTTGAAAGCACCGTGAAGAGTTCTTTCAATCCTGAGGCTTGGACCCAGAGTCTTATCCATGCTATGTAAGCACTCTACCACTGAGCAATAAATATTCTCAGCCCTCTTTTTACCTTTTAAAACGGGGTCTCACTAAGTTGCCCAGGATGGCTTTCAACTCATTCTGTAGTCTAGGAAGACCTTGAATCTGTGGTCCTCCTATCTTAGCCGCCTGAGTATCTGAGATTATAGGCCTGTACCAGCAGGCCTAACAGCAACAAAGAATTCTCAGATAATATGTGGCACATGAAAACTGAATACTCTTTTCATTGGGAGTATATAGACCATGTCTGAAAAATTTTAAAACCAGAAATAACAGAAGTACGCTATTTATTTAGAAAAGAAACATGATGGTATGTACCTGAAAACAAAGCTCAAGTAATTAAAAATGGATATTACTGAGGAGTGGAGATGGGATGGGATAAACCTTCTCGTAGGATTTCTCAACACCAGTACTTTTGGCATTTTGCAGTCTTTACCCATATCTGGCCTGTGCCCACTATATGCTAAGAGCCACCCCACCTCTTCCTCAGTTGTGACAACCAAAATCGTTTCTGACCGTTGCCCAACAACTCTGTATGGCAAAATGGTCTCTGTTTTAGTGTTATTTTATTCTTTAGCCTTAGTAATACTGTCAATGTACTAATCTGACAAAAATTATGGGTAAAGAAACAGTATGAGAGAGCTAGATCGGATGCCGGTGTCATCTCCTTTCAAATGCCTGTCCCTCTCCTGAGCTGACCTCTCTGGGCCTGTGTCCCACTCCTTTCCTCCCAGTCGAGCAACAGATAAGATGAAGACACTTACCCCCTAGGAACGCACACTCATAGTGGCTGCAGGTCTTGTTTGTGCTTTGAAGGACAAGGTCATTGCCAGCTCCTTCCGGCGACACTTGAAAAATCTCACTCAGAGGTATTAAAACAATTCTTTTACTTTGTGTACCAAAAAACTTTTCCACGGGCACTCCAAAGCAGGGGTAGATAGTCAGCACAGTGTACTGTTGGTCAGTTGCTGGAGGTTTGGTTGAATATGCCAGAGTGAAACTGCCAAGCCTGACTCTGTTTATCCCTCCAAATGCAAATGAAATGTCTTGACTTGTGCTATAGACCGCACTTTTGTAACTCTCCTCACAAGGTCTTCTCAGTACCTGCAGGCCTCTTACCAGGTAAAAATGAAAAGCTTTGAACTGAAAGTCGTAGATATAATCTTTTCGGGATTGGCCAGTTGTCTTCACAGCTTGGTTGAACATGTGGTAAAAGGGAGTCTGCTCTTGAGCCTCTGAAACATAGGCCATCAGGGCCACTCCATAGTTATCCTTAAAGTTCAAGGGGAGAGAAATCCCAGCCTTCCGAGCCTCCCACTTGATTTTCGCATTTTCCCACACAGTCTCTAGGAGCTGAAGGTTTGCCAGTTCCTCACTGAGCAGCTGGGGAACATACTTCATCTCCATCCTGTTGCTGCATTTCTGGTATTCGTCGTCAAATGCATCCTCAGCCATGTCTAACATTTCTGCCTTTACCTGCAAAGCAAAAGGAAATGAACACTCCTGAAAGAAGTGTTTAGTTGTTATAATTTTCTCTCACAGCACTATGCCCACTCTCTCATCCCTTTTCATTATGAACTGCTATAGATAGCTTTTCTCAGCTATGACATATTCATATGAGGAGGTATGGATAGGTACTTTGCCTGGAATTCATTCATCTGAGGACTGTGATGCAGAGGAAATGGAAGACCTCAGTGGCAATCCAGGCTTTGAACAGTATCCTTAGCTCTATTTGCTTGACTCTCAACACTGCTTTGTATAATTTGAAACATCATGTATAAAATATTGTACACGACAGATAAATAGACAATGGCAAACACTATTATTCCCTTTGGTGATACTCCCTTTCTCATATGACACGGGCAGAACTGATTTTCCACTCCTAGCCCAAAGTCAAAGGTGATCAAGGCCCTGCAATTAGAACACCCTAAAAAAATGGATCTTTTTTCCTTTAAAACCATATGTTCTCTGGATAATATTGGCTTAGGTCTTCCAACAATTATTCTTTCAGTCTTGTCAGGGGGACTAAAGCAATGTCTGAAAGCAAATCAATGAAGAAAGATTTATAGTACCAAAAGAAAGATAAGGCCCAGAGACACACTTGAGGCCTTTATTGTTAAGTGCCAGACCTGCACTTGACCTGCCTGCTTGATCCTTTGTTTGAGTGCTCAAAGACCCTTCAAACATAGCATGCCTATGACCAGCTTTATAAATTCACTGCCTACAACCACTGGGAACAACCATCTCTCCATCTGTTCGTGGGAAGGTTTCCTAGACACTTCCTCCTTAGGCAACCCCTATAAGGCATCTCATTTCTAAAGCCGAAGAAACATCTCCAGTGTTCTCTCTATACACTAGATATAGAGAATTCCATAGGAAGTACCTCACTTAATCCTCACAGCAACCCCTGTGGGGTAGTACTATCCTTAACCTCCCTTAAAAAAAAAGATAAGGAAACTAAGATACAGAGAGATTAAGACAGAGTCCTGGTTCCAGAGTCCTGTCTTCTTAACCAAAATGTTCTGTTGCCTCTAAAAAATGAGAATGTTTCAAAGATGAAGCCCACAGACATTTAGGTAGGACTGTTAAAAGAGATGAATTTTTCTAAAAATCCTTTTACCAATGAGATAACTTACTGGGTCAGCACCAGAAATGTTGATTACTAACCACAATACACTCTGCTGGGAAGTCCCTGAGACCCCCACACTCCTAGGTTTGTAGGTCAGTTTCTTGATACCTGAATTTGAGCTTCAGAGATCAAGTCACTGCTGTCTCATAGTTAAGAAATGCACTTTCCTTGTAGCACAGAATGTACCAGAGTTCAGCTTGGGCACCAAAGCATGATTTATCTTCAAGACCTCAACAGAAGACAGACTTGAAACCACCGCCCACATTCCTCGCCTCATATCAGAGTTCCGATATGTTCTTGTCTTTTCCTTATGCCTCAAACCAGTCTCCACATGTCTAATTTTAGGCATCAAGACTTCCTGGCCAGACACCATCACTGATTGTGTGTTCTGAACAGTGCGTGCCTTAAGCAGTGGCAAAGCTCTTCAGTGCTACCACCATTCAGGACAAATGAATGCATTCAAAGTAACAGGGACAAAAGATAAGGCGAATGAGCTGATTGTATTTTCTTCCTCTGATTTAGCCACTTAAAATAAAAGCTCATAATAATGAAATTCAAGTATCAAAAATTCAAAATTCACGTTTCAAATATGTGGAAATGACATAAATGTTCCAAAAGAGAAATTGGCTAAATTACAAAACATAAATGAAATAAATGTTAAAGTTATCTCGTGAACAAATACTTAAAAGGCAAATTAAAACCACAGGAGGCACCCCTTCACACCCCTAGACTGGAAGCAATGATAAAATGAAGACAGAAGGAAAATAACAAGTGATATGAGGCTGCAGGTGAATCAGAACCCTGATACACTGCGGACAGGAGTGTAGTAGAGTGCAGCCATATGGAAAATACTTTGTCGGTTCTTCAAAAGTTACACATAAAGTTATATGACCCAGCAACGCTACTCTAGATATGTCCTGAGAACTGAAGCATGTTCACAGTAATGAGCACCTGCTATCACGTAGCGTAAAGGCAGCCCTGCCGATTCATTTTCCCTTAATAGGTTGTACTAGCCATAGAAACAAGCTGTCATGTGAGGTCAGCAAACATCACTTGTCCTGCTCTCCAGATGTCAATAATTATACAGAAGAATTTAAAGAAAACATATCCACACAAAAACCTGTACACAAAGTTCATGGCAATACTATTTTTTAACTGCCATAAAGTGGGAACAGCCCAAATGTTTATCGATTGATAAAACGTGGCACAGTCATATAATGGCATTGTTATTCTTTGATAAGGAGAATGAGATATGAATACATGATACAATATGGATGGGCTTTGAAGACATTCTGCTAAGCAAGAGAAGTTAAGCACAAAAGACTGTATGTCGTAAGATTGTGCCTTGCTGAAATATCATCAATCATGAAGTAGATTACTGGTTGTCAGAGAATTGGGGAAGGAGGGAATTAGAGCTGACTCTGGTAAGTAAAGGATTTCTTTTTCAGGTGATAAAATGTTATGTAACTAAATAGTAATGGTTGTACAACATCATAAATACACTAAACGTGTGGTTTAAAATGTTGGTTTTTAAGGTTTTTAATCTCATTATACAGCTCAATTAAAAAAACACCCTGCAACAGAATGTGCAGACCACAGAATACACAATGATTCTCTAGAAAGTGGATCAAAGTACTGAATTTAAAATGTATAAAAAATTTTAAATTAGCCGGGCGTGGTGGCACACGCCTTTAATCCCAGCACTCAGGAGGCAGAGACAGGCGGATCTCTGTGAGTCCAAGGCCAGCCTGGTCTACATAGTGAGTTCCAGGACAACTAGGGCTACAGGGAGACCCTGTCTCAAAAAGACAAAAAAATTCTTTTTAAATTTTAGGTATTTTAATGAAGGCATTCAAAATCAGTGCACAAATAGAGGCAATAATAGCAACTAACAATATGTGAAGGGCAAGTGAGATACGTGTTTTGTATTATATATTAAAGTATATTGCACAGTATTTAAAGGATTAACTGCAAATAAAATCATAAATTTCTATCAGTAAAAAAAACTATGAAGAAAGTCATTATATAGTTTAATAACATGGAATCAAACAACGTGTCATTATTTGGAGAACATGATGTTTTCAGACTATTTATTGACATGGATAGACACATAGCACACTATTACTTAAAGACAGGATTTAAAATGTTATATTCAGGGGCAGACATGGCTCAGTGGTTGAGTACTTGTTACTCTTGCAGAGGAGCTGGGTTCAGTTCCCAGCACCTACATGGTAGCTCACAACCACCTATAACTCCAGTTCCAGAGGATCTAATACCACTGAGGGCACCAGGCATGCACATGGTGAACATACATACATACATACATCAATACATACATATATGCACACAGACACACATACACATAAAATAAAAATAAATTTCTTTCTAAATCCTGTGTGTATTAATCTTATTTGTATATATACTATTAATCTTATTTTTAAATGAACTACATAGAGACAGAGAAAAGCTAAGATTATATATACCAATCCCTAAGAGTCTTTCCCTCTGAGTAAGAGAATTCATCATTGAATTTTGCTGCTCTCTTTGCTTCATTTTAACTTTTTGACTTTCTACAGTTACCATGTATTTCATCTGTCAGACAGATGAAGAAGGTACTTACAACAAGTTAGTTTACCTATCCAGGCTTTTCTTGGCCCACATAGATGCCCCAGGAAAGTTATCGGGTTTCCAGGCCAGTGACCACATGCTTCCCCATTCCCAGCATTACCTGGAAGATGTCCATTAGAATCATGGCTGCCAGCAGCATGGTGACCATTTCAAAATGTCTCATCTTCATTTTTCTCTTCTAAATTAAAAGGAAAAAAAATCAATTCTGTAAAGGCTTACCAAAGAGGTTTAGGGGAGCAGAACAAGATGATGCTATATATTTTCATTCTGGGTAGATATGTGATAGTCACAGTAATTATTAATAAGTTCCTAACGGCTGTAAGAGTCATTCAATTTTATCTAGATGTCTGACACCTTCATTCTGGAGTAGGAAACAAAAACTTGAGAATGTCTGTGATAGTCTCAAGATCAAATCCGCCTTTTGCCATACAGCCCCGACATGCTTCTCCACCACAGTCATGCCTAGGCATATTTTTTCCCTATCTCTAAATCTCCTCTCAGCATACATAAAAAGTAACACAAATTGGAACCAGCAGTCTCAAACTGCACCCCACCCCCAACTCCCAGTTTCTAAGACTTCTCTAGAAATCTATCCATGTGTACCGTCTATTCTTCTACCTTCTTCGAAAGCTACATGCCCATTTAGGTGGAAGGGAAGACATGATGAGGTTGGTAGTACACAAAGCAGATTACCTGAGGTGACCTTTCCCCAATTATTCATAACCAATAGAAGCCTAGAGGTGAAACTAGTCTCTTTTTTAACTTGATGGAGCTAGGAACCAGGAAGGCAGCAATTCTAATAAGATTATATAACTCTACTGGCTGAATGCCCAATTCGTTCCAGTACTTATGGCAGTGGAACAGGTAAACAGGAAGGCAAGAGGTCCTCGAGGGTTGAGGCTATCCGGAGCCAGTAACCAACTCAATTAAGGACTCCAGGCAGGTGGCCTCTAGTTCCTCCCACATGCATATGCTCCCACAAAGTCAACATTACCATAACTGTGATGGAGCTGAAATATGATGGTTTCTTACCAATCATCATATTCTGGACTCTGAAAGTGGGAGCGAATGGCATAGGGGAAAGTAGAGAGCCTTTTCTGTACATCATTTTGGCCCCAGGTTCCTGTCTTTCTTCAAAAGCAATTTCTTTATCTAGAGACACAAAAATACAGTACCAAAATGCTACTTTTGTGCTAAATTTCCTCTCCCAAAAATATATGGAATACAACATTCAATAGAATCTTGTTCACAGGCAGTATGTGCCAAGCCAGCTGTGGTCAGGATTTTCCTGGGAATCCTTCACTTCTGTAGTCTTGAGTGCAAAAAATCAAAATGTTTACCTGGTGTTTGTGACTTTGGAGTAGTTTAAATGATGCCACGTCTCAAATTGATTCCCACTTTCAGCTGTGATGAGCGTCCCTCCAGGATGGGATGTTGTTGACAGTGAGACCTGACAGGGGAATGCTTTTCTTTTTATAACACCCCTAGCGGTAGCTGGCAGTGGCACATTGCCCCACTGGTGTTCTGCTATTTATAGCTGGCCCCCACACTCTGTCCCGGAATCACTGCTGTTAACACTTTCAATCTCCAAGAGGCCTGCGAATCCACAGCAGTGCCCTCTGCCACACAGCATGTTTAGTTCTGAGCCCAGTTCTGAACTTCCTTCAGTAAGAAAACATTTCTCAACCCGAACCCTTTGACACTCATGTGTCACTCTATTACATGGATCACATAACTGAGAGGGTTTGCTTTGCTAAACACTGTCAATGGTAATGGCTGTCTCCACTCACTACCCAGCTGACTGTGTTTCAGGTACTGTGACAGGTGCTGGGATACACGGACAAGCAAAACAAAGTATCAAAAAGCTTTCCCAGTCTAATAAAATTAACTAATACGCATACTGCACCTGAACAGAACACAGTAACAATTGATCAATACAGAGTTGGATGAGAATGTTAAGGAGGAAGGGACTTGGCAATGCCGTGACAAGCCTACGCTCTTGAATTAAAATATACACGGCAACCGGGCGTGGTAGTGCACGCCTTTAATCCCAGCACTTGGGAGGCAGAGGCAGGCGGATCTTTGTTAGTTCGAGGCCAGCCTGGTCTACATAGTGAGTTCCAGGACAGCTGGGGCTACAGGGAGACCCTGTCTCAAAAAGACAGAAAAAAAAAAGATATACATGGCAATTTATTGGCTGTAAAGCTGAAGAACACGCAGGAATTTCACTATGGACAAAAACCCTTGAATTCTACTAGGAAATTGGTGTATTTTTACATCAAGATGCATTACTGAAATGCTAATAAGTGGCTATGCAGAATAGTCCCAAACTCAAAACCATCCAAATTCCAAACAGTACAATTGTGAAATAAATTTGATAAATGGTGGTAATGCAAATGAATAAACTCTAACGTATTTAACAATGTAGATAAAATTCACAAGCAAAATTCTGAACATAAGACACAGTATGCCTCTACTGTGACATATAGAAAACATAGACTAATATTGGAAACATATCTGCCATTAGGAAGTCAGAGCAGTAGTCACATGGGTAGTAGACAGTAACTAGAAGGAGGATGGGAAGTTTCTGGTGTAATGGCTAGATTCTCGCTTTGATTCTGGGTACAGATTACACTGCTATGTTGGTCAGTTTGTGAAAACTCATCAAGTTATATATTTAGGTGTATTTTTCTGTGCATGTTACATCAGTGAGACACTTAGCATTATCATGAAGTATACACTTCAAGTACATGCTTAGAAAATGCATTTCTGGGGCCGGAGAGATGGCTCAGTGGTTAAAAGCACTGGCTATTCTTGCAGAGGACCCAGGTTCAATTCCCAGCATACACATGGTGTGCTAACAACTGTCTGTAACTCCAGTTTCAGGGCAATCCAACGGCCTCTTCTGGCTTCTGCAGACTCTGAACCACAGAGTTGCACTTACACACATGAAGTCAATACACTCATACACATAAAATAAAAATATTTTTTAAAAAAATTTAGTATTTTTATTTTATGTATATGCATGTATTGCCTGCATGTAGGTAAGTGCACCAGTGTCATGCAATGCCCTCAGAGGTCAGAAGAAGCTGTCGGATCTTCTAGGACTGGAGTTACGGGCAGTTGTTAGCTGCCATGTGGGTGTTGGGATTCGAACCCAGGTCTTCTGCAAGAACAACCAGTGTTCTTAACCACTGAGCCATTTCTCCAGCCCCCAAAACAATTTTTTTTAAAAAAGAAAATGCATCTCTGTGTGATAGAAACTTTGTCCAGTTCTGTGCCAACATTATTATTGTGAATATTGCTAGGCAAGCATGCATTCCTGTGCTTGGTAGAATTTCCAAAAACTGCTGGTGAAGGGAGGTGACCACCCTTGTCACATCATGTCCTGTTCCCCTGAGACTGAGTCCCTGGCTACCCCAGCCACTTGTTTAGTGTAGGCAGCACGGAGGGAAAAGGGAAACTTTGCCTCAAGGCTTATAGTATATTCTAGAAATATGTATATGTGATCTCACTTTGTATGCCTGTGTGTGCATGTTCACCTAGGTGCATGTGCATATGTGTGCATGTGGGGTGGAGGCTGGAGGTTGACATTAGATGTCTTTCCCAACCAATCTCTACCTTATTTTTTGAGGCAATTTCTCACTGGACCTGGAGTTCACTGATTCGACTAGGCTGGCTAGCCAGTGAGTTCCAGAGATCCCCTTATCTGCCTCCCAGTGCTGGGATTACACGTGCACACTACCACTCGTTTATGAACCTAGGTCCTGATGCTTGGATGGCAAGTGCTTTACATCTTTCCACCCATTTCCGTTCTCAATTTTCTAAAAAAGATCTACTTTATTATCTTTTATTTACATACCGTGTGTGTATATGCACAAGTGCATGCAGATGCCCACAAAGGCTAGAAGAGGATTGGATCTTTTAGAGCTGGACTTAGGGTTTGTTGTGATCTGCCCAACATGGGTGCTGGGAATGGAATTTGGTCCTCTGGAAGAGAAGCAAGTACTCTTAATCACAGAGTTCCTTTGTTCTCAATGTTTAAAGAAAATTTTGGTCTTTAAATTATTTAGTCCTATTACTGACCTCTTTACAGTATAAAAATTGAAGAGTATGTAATGACACTAATGTTCACATTGCATTTATTTATTCTTTACTTTATTTGTTCATTGATTAATACTTTGTGCACTTGCTACCTGAGTATCTCAGACCTGACTTATCACATGTAACCAGACAGAACTGCCCTTCTCACCTGCAGCATCAGGTTCATGTCTGTGATTCTTTTTCTTGTTGTTGTGGTTCGCATTCTGATTAGAATATGCACTTATTTTCAGAAACTTAAGTTATCCCCAGACAAGATTTATCAAAGGTAACACCCATGAGCAGGTAGCGTAGCAAAATCCCACAACTCGGCAACCATTAGTGAGGTAATTTAGAATAAGGATATTCTCAATGAAACGAGCTTTTACCTGTACTCTATTCTGACTTGTAAAGACACTCGTGAATGAACTATTATTCCTTCATATTTGATTGCTATTTTGCTGGGGATTTCCATTAGATAATTTAATACTACAATAGCTCTAGCTGCTATTAAAATGGCATGATTAATACTAATATTCTCTATACAGGCTAATGTTATCGATTCAAAACAAGAGCCCAATGACACTCTTATTAGAGTCAGCTGCCCATGAAGATGAGGATAGACTTCAGGAAGCTTCCATAGAAGTCCACTATTTTTTAAAGTAAAAAAATTTTATTTTTATCTTATGTGCATGAGTGTTTTGCCTGCATGTATTTAAATACACCACATGTGTGCCTAATGCCCAAAGAGGCTAGAAGAGGATGTTGGATCCCCTGGAACTGGAGTTAAGGATGGGTGTTAGCCACCATATGGGTACTGGGAACTGAACCTAGTTTCTCTAGAAGATCAGTAAGTGCTCTTAACCACTGAGCCATTTCTCCAGCCCCAGAAAGTCACTATTTTTAATTCCATGTTTACTAACTTAGTTGCCATATGCAGTAAACTTTGTATCTGATATCTAAGATAAAACTTCCCTAGAATGCACAAAGGAAGCTATCACATATTCATCTATCTATCTATCTATCTATCTATCTATCTATCTATCTATCTATCATCTACCTACCTATCATATCTAGCTATCTTCTATCATCTATCTATCTCATCTATCTATCTCAGGTATCTGTCATCTAGCTATCATCTATCTAATCTATCATCTATCTATCATCTATCTATCTATCATCTATCTATCTATCTGCTCTTTTTGAGTCAGCAGCTCCTGGTATTCCCAGCTGGTCTGGAACTCACTATGTAAGCCAGACTGGCCTTGAACTCAGAGATCCACCTGCCTCTGCCTCCCAAGTGCTGGGATTAAAGGCATATGCCACCATGCCCAGCCACATATTCATTTTTTAAAAGAGAGATTAGTTTTTTATTATTCAAAAAATTTGTAATTGACTTCAGGAAAGCATGCCTCAGTAAATGTTTGGCTCCTGTGTGGACACACACACACACACACACACACACACACACACACACACTAAAATGCTTCTGAACAGAAAGAGCCCATAACAGAATGACTTATCTCTCTCTCTCTCTCTCTCTCTCTCTCTCTCTCTCTCTCTCTCTCTCTCTCTCTCTTTGTGTGTGGTGTTTGTGTACAGGCCAGAGGTTGACATCAAGTATCTTCCTCAATTGATCACCCACCTTCTTCTTAAAAAAATATGTTTAAACTTATTTATTTTTATGTGTATGAGTGTTTTGCTTGCAAGTATTTAAGTGCACCCATGTCATGCAATGCCCACGGAGGACCTTAGATCCCCTGGAACTGGAGTTACAGATGCTTGTTAGCCACAGTGTGGGTGCTGGGAACCAAACCCAGTTCCTCTGCAAGAGCAGCCAGCACTCTTAACCACCGAGCCATCTCTCCAGCCCCTCTACCTTCTTTTTTGAGACAGCATCTCTCACAGAACCTGGAACTCAATGGTTCAACTACAGCAGCTTCCAGAAATCCACAGGGATCTGCTGGTCTCTCCTCTCAGGACTGGAATTACAAGCATGAGCCGCCAGGCCCAGCTTTTTACACAGGTGCTGAAGATCCACAATCAGATCCTCGTGCTTGTGTGGCAGCTCACTCACTGAGCCATCTCCCTAACCCCTAGGTATTGAATATTCTCTGTTTTTGTTATTTGAGACAGGTCTTCCTGTAGCCCCAACTGCTCTGGAACTCGCTATGTAGACCAGGCTAGCCTCAGTCTCACAGAGATCTGCCTGCCTCTGCTTTCCGAATGCTGGGATCAAAGTCATGCGCCACCACACCCAGTTTGGTATTGAAGAGTTGTAAAGCAAATTTGTGGATAGCAGATGAAATACTTTGTAGTACTCAGTTGTATATTGTATACTTTATTTCAAATAGTAAAACA